ATGTTGACGTGTTCAATACTTATTTTACCCGCTGTATCTGAAGATGTGACAAAGTAAAAACAGGAGGAGGTGAATAATTTGTCACATCACTGGTATTTAATGACACGACACCTTTTTAACCAATAATTAATGCTGTAWCTGTCTTTCGTTCTACAGATCGTGAGGACCAGTCCATTCTCTGCACGTAAGTGAAACCATTTTAATCTTTCATAAGAAGTCAACGATGAMTGTGACAGAACAGTTGTTGGTGTAAACATAGATATAAATCTCATCTGTCAAAGCTTCACGGTAAGAAATCATTATTTCTCAGATTGTGCCRCTCTGAGTTTATCATATTCAAACTGATGTAGCACTGAGGCTTCTGCAGCTCTCCCTGAGAACTTCTTCCCTCTGTCTGTCAGGAAGTGTGCCCTGAACCCTGATGGAAGATTAGTTTTCCAAATGGGCTCCATTCTGTTTATTTGTTTCAAACTAATTGCTGAGAACTGACGGGACCCAGTTTTTTTTCTTGTGGCAATTTATTTTTTGGATTTGGATATGATTTGTTTTCTTTTGAGATTTATTGACCTAATGGGTTTAAYGGTTCAGCTGAAGCCTCTTTGTTGGACCCATTATCTTTTTATTTTTATTGTTTACAATTAATACCAGCTCATTTTTGTTCACTGCCACTATAAACCCATATAACTCCAGTAAAGTCTACTCAATGCAGATGATGATAAATGAGAATGTATAAAGTACACACTCTATGCATCTAATATGTTCGTCCTCTGCTAAATTAGGTCTTGGGTTCAGGACCAGGTCTATACCTGGTATATACCCCTGAAAGTTAYTGACTGCATCATATGATACTTTAATCACAAAATATCCTTTGCACCATAAAACACCTCATGTAGGAACAAAGCAGGCTGAGAAAATCACAAAACAAGTTACCTTCATAAACTTGAGTAACCAGAGTAACCAGTGATTTTACAGACTAAATTAACTACACTCTGGCAGACTTTCTTCTCAGAGTCTTAATAGTTTCAGTAAATGAGCTGAGATTTTCAAAAGCCCTTCATTTACTGCAACCAGGATGCAGCAAATTCTTTCCCATCAAACTGTTTCCTCAACAATTAAGCTTCCTTATCAGAACATAACTGTACAAGTTTATTTGCATCCATCACAGCAGCTGAAACAAAGTTTAGTTTTCCAAGTTTTAAATCTTAAAATCGAGTAAAAATACAAAATTACATAATTAGTAAATTGCTTAAAAAGCCTAGAGCATTAATTTTAATTAAAAGCCAGAGAAAAAGGGTAGAAGTRTGGTGCTCTTATTGATTGACAATGGAAGACGTCCACAGTTTTAATCTGTCTGATCTGTCATTGATGATTTAGAATGTGGAACTTTTAAAGAACCTSTTTAGAAGATTGAAAAAAGATTTGGACTTTGACAGTGTGGAAAGTAGAAGTGACGGAAACTGGAGAAATGCTTCACACAAGCAATATGAATTTTTCTTTCACCCAAGTTTTTTCAGTTTGAMCTTTTCAGCCCCAAGGAGTTTTCTTAATGTTTTTGCTGAAATGTAACTGAGAGTATCTCAGCATTTACAAACTCTACTTACATCATCTTTATATTAAAATAAATCTAACACTTGGGAGATTTCATCAGAGGTGTAAGTATTAAAACAGCTGCTAGTTTTAGAGGTATTGACGATGGAACATAAAAATATTCCACTCACTTGAATAATTTTTGCATTAGACAGTATATARCCCATTTAAAACCATAATRAAGTAGGCTAAAAATTCTCTGAAACCATAAATCCACTTGTGGATATTACCTGTGCAAAGATTCATGCTGCTAAAATTAACTGGAGCAAAGACACAAATAATTTTGCATTTTGTCATTCTGCACAGGACTGATCATATTACCATTTAATAAATTGTTTGTTCTTTTGAAAAGTTATCTAAACATTTGTGTCACCATATTTATCTTATTTAAAACAATGATACGTTATATATAACTTCAGTTAGACCATATTCACTCAAAATCAAATCAAATAAAAAAAACTTCCAACACTTTACAACAGGTTTTGATATCTGCTTTGACTTGCTTTAAAAAATCTTTCTTTTACAGATTTGTAATRATGCCATTTTGTACAGTTTACTTTCTGATTCAACTGCTTGATGTTTGAACTGTGTTTGGTAGATGGAAAATTAGTTTCCATGAGCTTTTAGCCAAGATTCTTGGGTTTCTATTGATACCAAACATGTCCAGATTTAACTGTTAGATCTTCAGCTAACAGAAGTTAAAAGAAATARAAAATGGGAAAAGCTGTTTTGACCCTGGGACTGGGGGGCGTGGGGCTCAAACTGCCATCTTTGTTGTATTGATTTGTAATTCATTCAAACAGAATATTAGCTCGTCACATCTCACCATCCTCTGCCAAAATTCACAAATTAATAATAAATCAAAAACAATTAGACGTGGACAAATATAATGTCCCCTGAGCGAACAGAGCGCTGATGAATCATTCAGAGGAGAAACTCCAGTTAGTGCTGCAGTAACAGCTGCAGGAGCCTGGATGCTGAATATCCTAACCGGGCCTGGATGTGGCAGAGGAGCTGGATTCCACTTTCAGCTGCCAAATATCTCACAGAACATCCCAGGCCTTTTAAGGGCCCTTGACTGAGCGTGCATCTGCGTGGTGKTTGGTGGCTCTGGGATCAGTCAACTCAGACTCACGTCCAACTTTTGTTTTCTGGAAAGAATCTGCCCGTGGTTTTGTTTAAGAAGCTGAGTTACAAATTGGTTTTTATAAGGTACAGGAGAGCGTTATTTAGAAATGGGCCATCTGATGGTCTCCTATTTCTTCATCAGTGCCAAAAGAGGAGTTTTTTCCTACTACTAAGTCGCTCCCAGGTACTTAAAGAGTTCAAGTCTTTTGGTGTAAGGTTCTTGAACATTTAACAGAAAATACGCCTCTGTTGGTTTGACATCAGATGAGACAACTTGAGAAACCAAAATAGATCAAAGAACCAGAGAGCTGTAAAGTACTGGAAACAAATAACTAAAAGTAAAAATACCTTATCAGAAAATCACTTTGGTAGAAGTAAATTTCACTGAGCAAAGTACTTAAAGTCATAAAACCATTCACAAAAATCAGGCAAGTAAAAGTACWTTTAATACTTTTAAAACACACTCTAAGAAATAAACTGTTGAATTTACTGAAACCCCTTAATAGTTTTTGTTCCACTGCTGAGCAAAAATGGTGCTGTTTCTGCCTTTAAATGTTTCCAGATGCTACAGGTGGCTTTTATTTTGAAGGCTACAGTGTCAGACTGCTTCCTCTGGTTCTTACCTTTTTAGTTTAGCACCCTAAAAACATGTTGAAAGGCTTTTAAGGAATTTCAGGGGTGACTGTTAAGGGGTTAACCCACGGGTCTGCAACATTTACAATCCAAAAAGTCMTTTCTGCTCCTTCTCTTATTAATAAAATGTATCCAGAGCTGCGATCAACTGGTGGTCCGTGGGCCATTTTAATTTTGTTGAAGTGGTGCAATTCCGGCCAGTGGGGGTGACATGAAACAGAAAATTTATAAGTTTTTATATTAGTTATTTTTACACTTCATGAAAAATAATAATAATAACAACAACTCATGTATACAAGAAAAATATAGTTTATACCCAATTTAATAAAAACTAAAACCCTTGACTGTGCAGGGATATTTTTTCCTATTTTTGTATTGTTATTTCAATAACATATTTCTTCTCAGCAGCTTGTTTTAAAGGTTTTCCCCAAAAAAAAAATCCTGATAAATTTGAGAGAAAGATTATAAGGCTACTAGCATGATCTAATTAACATGTTTCACTTCCTTTTTTAGTAACAATCACTTATTTGGAAACAAATTGACAGGAAAACTGCTAAAGCTAGCATTTTCTATTGGGAGTAAAAACAAACAAATTTTAAAAAGTCATATTTGCTTTGGTCAAATCTTAAAGAGCCACAGGTAGCAGACCCCTGGGTTAACCAAACTGGTTCCACTAAACCAAGTTGCCTCATATTTACTCTACTTTAATAGAACCAGTTGACATGACTTGGTTGAATAAACTTTTTATTTTTAGAGCATAAACAACTCCTCATAAGTTCAGACATGTTTAATTTTGTAACAAGTAACTAGGTGTCAAATGTTAAAGTAAATAAGTTAAAGTATCAGTTTTAGGTTTTAAATGTAACAAAATAAAAGTAAAAGTAACGATTTAAAAAAATTGGTAAAATTACAAATACTCAAAATTACTTAAGTACTGTAATAAAGTAACTGTACTTAGATACTATAAATCTCTGCAAAGAACATTTAAAGAGGATAAAGTATAAAATTAAATGCAACCTGAGCTTTATCAAACTGTGCAGCTTAAACATCTTGTTTTTGTTTTAGCATTGTCTCTCATTTTCTCTTTATTTTTCTCTTTTCTTTTTTTCTTCAGCGGGGAGTCTGGTGCCGGGAAGACTGAGAACACCAAGAAGGTCATCCAGTATCTGGCTGTAGTGGCCTCCTCTCACAAAGGGAAGAAGGACAGCAGTGCTGTAGGTATCTGTGTGTTAGGGGTGGGGGGTAAAGTTACCATCTCTCAGCCAGCTCCCTCACTCCTTCACATGTGCAGAAAAACTGCCCAGTTTAATCCTGTATATTGCCGTTTCCTCCAAATAGCAACAATCAGGATCACAGTTTGCCTACGTGAGTATAGGGGAATGCCTGGAGTGTGGTTTTGTGTGTCGTGTTTGTTTTTAATACCTTAAATWAGAAAAGTGCATGAAGGTAGTGTCACGGAGTTGCCCAAACAAAGTTCTCTCTTTATTTTACTTGCACTAGTAAGATGTTAGCTTTAATATTTTATCCGTTAGATGGCATTTTACCAAATATTTGTCATCAGAGCAGATTTGGGACAGCCTCTTCTCTGGAATAAAATGTTCTGGAAACTCTGGAAGCTTCCAAAAACAAAGTGCTAACTTMTTTACTCTAGTTCAGACTGCATGATGGTTACGCTACAGTCACTTTAAAACCTGAACCTGTTCAGTGGACGTCCTATTTTATTTAATGKTTTTTTCCTTCTGCAGTGGTTCATCTTGACTTTTTGTGGCCCATCTTTCTCAGACATCCTTTCACTGTCAGTGGAGGTTGAGCTGAAACCTCCCTGACAGTAAAAGGGTCTCTCACAGATCACAGTGTGAGCATGCCCATTTCCTGTTCTTATCTGTCCAACGCCGGCCTCCCTCTTATCTTTTTTTTTTACCAGGTACTATGACAAGTATGTGCAATCCTGTCAAGAAGCTTCTTGTTATTTTTTTTTTTTTTTGCATTGTTGAGCTCTGTCTTCGAATCTGAAACAGTGCTAGATGCCATTGGCCTAGTTTTCGGAGGTATGTCTTGGAAATTTGTGAGTCGAAGATCCCACACACCCACTGAGCCCTCAGAGGGAGAATTCTTCAAATGTGTTCTGTTTTCTGTAAGCCCCAGAGGCTCCCACGGACTCCCACAGAAATAGTATTGGGAACATTTTTCTTCTCCGCTCTGTCCTCATCGGGCACTTTTATAAGACTGCTTCTGCTTGTCTGTCTCCCCAAGAATTTGTTTTAAACCATGTCAATCCTCTGTTCCAACTGCTTTCTTCTTTCTCTGTTGTGCCGTGCTCTCCCTTTTCCCTACAGTAGTTTTATTTGACAGGACCTTCTTCTCTGCTTTGCCACCTCTGAGCTGCACCTCATCAGTGGGTCTGTATCTTTTTTAAGGCATCTTTTTCTAAAAATGTTATATAATAACTGACGAATTAGAATCTGTCAGAATACTTACATCAAGTTTTATTCTGGTTTTTTGTCTGAGCACTAATCATAAAAAAACTCCTTTTTCCCCTTTTGAGGCTTTAGCTCATTTACACACAAGGTGTTTTTAAGTGAGAAAGTTTACGTAGAGGTCTRCGCCGCCTGACCCTGATGCGGGCTGAGAAGAACCGCTTTGATCAGGCGGATTAGCTTCATTCCAAGTGACGGACCGTCCGCTTCGTTTACTGACGTTACCTCAGCTCCACTTGCTCTGCAGTCACGCTGGAAGCAAATCGCATTTTCAGAAAGATGTTTTGGTTTCCCAACATGCTAAATTCAAATATTTATATTTATAATATTTAAGGTTTTCCTGAAAAATGAAGGTTTTGCGTCCATCCTGGTTTAATTTCATCTCTGAGGAGTGCAGTTGGAGGGTGTTGGACAGATTTTAACAGGAATATCTCTGTGTATAACTCTCACCACCAGGGGGAGCTAGAGAAGCAGCTCCTGCAGGCCAATCCCATCCTGGAGGCCTTCGGAAATGCCAAGACCATCAAAAATGACAACTCTTCTCGATTTGTGAGTTTGTTTCAGAACACAATGCTTTAGTTTTGTGTTGGGAAATTGTACCACTCCTTCCTGAAACACCTTCTCCCCTTTTTGCTCTTTCAGGGAAAATTCATTCGCATCAACTTTGATGTCACAGGTTACATCGTTGGAGCCAACATTGAGACTTGTATCCCTTTTTTTTATAAAATTACTAGCAGGGAGGAAAAATACTTATTTGATTTGTTTTCAGGCTTTTCTGTGAGGAAAAAACTGTTGTTTTTGTTCAAGTTTGAGCTTTCTAAATTATTTGCGTTTTGAACTCAACCTGATCTAAGGTGGTCTCAGTGGTTCCCAAACTTTTCAGCTTTTGACCCACAAACTACCAGCAGCTGAGAACGATTCCCCCAACTGTTGTTGATTGATAAACACTGCTTTCACGTCAAATAAACAAGGGCATAGTARCAATATTCATTACTTATTTTTGTCCATTGTAAGCACATTAATGATAATAAAAAATGTTGTTAGTTCTCCTTTTTTAGTGTAATTATTTCAGAAAATCTTTTCAGGACCCCACCTTGGGTCCTGACCCCAACTTTGGGAACCACTGACAGRTGAAGAGTTTTCACACATTAAAATAATTTAGAATAGGTTTGACAAGTAAATTAGTTAATTAGTAAATTAAAATGAGTTTATCTAAGGTGAAACAAACGCCAAAACATTTAGGAAATATCCCATCAAGTCCCACATCTGATGCTGGGAATAAGGAACTAATTTCAGGTGTGGCCTGMCCAAGTTTCTTTGACACACATTTTTTGCCATATCTAAATAGAACAGCCCCTGAATGTCTCTGAACAGAGATAAAACCTACTTTCATCTGATTCTGACAGCTTTTTTAGTTTGATAATTGATTTTTGTTGCCTTTATGGCTACTAGAGAAACCAAAACATGCACAGACTAATGTATTTCTTTCCTGCCTTTTATGGAGCATCTCCCCTGACTGAAAGTGGTCTTTTAACAAATGTAATTTATGTACGTAAAGAAGTTTATTTCAATTCTTTAACAGGTTTTTGCACTCAGATCTGCTGGARAAGTCCCGCTGTATCCGACAGGCAAAGACAGAAAGAGCTTTTCACATCTTCTACTACATGATTGCTGGTGCTAAGGACAAAGTGCATGGTGAGATAAGTTGTGCATTTTTTGTAATTCTACATTGTTGATTCTTCTGAATCTGTTAGATGCAGGTGGAACTGTAAGAACTGAGAAGATGCAGATATGAATGTTGTTAAAAACTACTCTAAAACTCTGACTTTTGATTTGTGCTCTTTTCACAGAGGAGCTTCTTCTGGAGCCCTTCAGTAATTACCGTTTCCTGAGTTCGGGTCACGTTCAGATCCCTGGTCAGCAGGATGACGAGATGTTTGAGGAGACCATGGAGGCCATGAAAATCATGGGCTTAACCGACGAGGAGAGAATCGGTACCGATATTTAATTCAATACTTTACTCTTGATCCTGATGATTTTTTTTAAAGAGGGAGTTTCTAGCCCCATTCATAAGACGCCTCAGTCTGGGACTGATGCATGTTCTGTCCACCAAACAKTCAGAAAAAACACGAAGGTGGAAAGGCGAGTAAAGTGAGCCTGCCTCTGATGCCCCTCTGAGCCCCCAACCGAGGTATCAGAGCCGGGCCTGAGGTGGGCTGACAGACGTGAAAAAGCAACCTGTGGTTCCGTGCTCAGAAAATGATAATGAGCTGATGACATCAGTGAGCACATAATCTAACCAACTAACAGATTTATTAGAATAAAGTAGAAAGCCTTTGTCATGTACACAGAACACACCCTATACAAGATTAGAAGCTGCTCCCATACAGTTCACACAGTGCAATAAATAAAACTTAAAAATTACTGCTGTAAAAATGGTCCTATACAAATAAGACCAGAACTTAAAAAGAAAAATTTTACATTACAGAAGGAATATTAAAGATKACACAAAACAACAACTTTGTATTTAGTTTTAAAAAGTATTGAACCACAGGATCACTAAGTAAGTTTGTTTTGTTTGATACAAGTCAGATGTCTGTCACACAATAAATACAGTATGTCGTGGTCCACTTCAGCCGAGCTGACATCTGCTCCACGCCACTTCTGGTTTTGCGCTGCCGAGTTAATTTCTGAACGTGTACATGTGAGCGGGAACTGRTTATTTTATGAATGACCTGAAGGTGCTTAAAGCTGGATTGGTCTGTGCGTCGATTTCATAGTACTGTCTTGTGAAAGAGGCTACCRTTAGCAGCACCTCCTGATGGACGCAGCACTCTGACTTGTTTTATACATTTTAATCAGCATGTTTGGTTTTTATTTTGCAGACATCCTGAAGGTGTGCTCCACTGTGATGCAGCTGGGAAACATAGCCTTCAAAAAAGAGAGAAACCAAGAGCAGGCCACCATGCCAGACAACACCGGTTAGATGTTTTTACTGCTTTTTTCCTTCAACATGCTGCTGCTGTTCCCTGGACATCCTTTGTTTTAAGTGTAGCACACGTCTAATGTTGTCTCTGCAGCGGCTCAGAAGGTGTGTCACCTGCAAGGCATCAATGTGACRGACTTCACCCGAGCCATTCTCACCCCTCGCATCAAAGTGGGCAGAGAGGTGGTGCAGAAGGCACAGACCAAAGAGCAGGTACGTCAGATGATTACAGTCGTGCCACAGCAGAAAAAAACCAGTCCAAACATGTTCCATGTGATGAAGATGTTGCTGTATCTGTAAATCCAGTCTATAAAGCTTACAATCATTTTCTGTAAACAGGCATTCACTCCTTCCTGCTTATACCCGTCACCTGAATGAAGTTATGTGTATATAGGAATTTTAAAAATGTCACAAGTGAAGCTTACTGGTTTAATTTACTGGTTTTATTTATCGTAAAGAGCTCACAAGCTATAAAATGTTTAGTTTCCAGATTGTTTTGAACTCTGGATTGTTTTTTCTGTATGTTTRTTTTTTAGGCTGACTTTGCTGTCGAAGCGTTGGCTAAGGCTGTCTATGAGAGACTGTTTCGCTGGATCTTGGGCCGAGTCAACAAAGCCCTGGACAAGACCAAGCGACAGGGAGCCTCCTTCTTGGGAATCCTTGACATTGCTGGATTTGAAATCTTTGAAGTATGAACCTGTTCATTTAGYTCACATGTGCATAGATTTTAATTTTGTAATYGTGYAAACATGCATGGTCTTTGCAGGACAACTCCTTTGAGCAGCTGTGCATCAACTACACCAACGAGAAGCTGCAGCAGCTYTTCAACCACACCATGTTCATCCTGGAGCAGGAGGAGTACCAGAGGGAGGGCATCGAGTGGAACTTCATCGACTTCGGCCTGGACCTGCAGCCCTGCATCGAGCTCATTGAGAGGCCGGTAAGTATGACTAATAAAAAACAAAGTAAAAAATCACTACTGATATTTAATGCACAGCATTAAAGGTTCTCCTATTCCTCACAGATGTATTTTGACACTCCGTGTTTGATTTTTGTTGCTAATCGTAGCTGTGTGGTGTCTGCAGAATAATCCTCCAGGCATCTTGGCCCTGCTGGATGAAGAGTGCTGGTTCCCAAAAGCCACAGACATCTCCTTTGTAGAGAAACTCATGAACACTCAAGGAAACCATGTGAAATTTGCCAAACCTAAGCAGCTTAAAGACAAAACGGAGTTCTCTATTCTGCACTATGCTGGAAAGGTGAGTAGAAGATGCATATAACTAGGGCTGCAGCTACTAATCAATAAAATACATAAAAATAGATAATTAAGTGCTGGCAACAGATTTCATTTTCAGTTTATCGATTTTTATATTAATTCWTTGAGTTTTAATYTGYTGACAGYGTCTGAGTGAAGACACTTGCTTTAACCTAATACTGTAAATAAAAGAAGGTGTTTATTRAATTMTTRTAATAAGCAGMTGTCTTGACTGAAAGTCTTCTTAACGTGATCGTCACTGAGACCGTTCATGGTCAAAAATAAAGACTTCACTAGAATAGTTCACACTTTTATTTCAGGTTACACTCTTCCCTCAAGGACACATTTTACAAAACTCAGAGAAAATTTGAAGAGACTTCCAAGGATATAGCACACATTTGTCTATATTTTTGTGTATTCTCACATGACGTTTTTACTGAAGCTATTTGACAAATATTTACCTATTTATGCATTATAATTTAAGATTATATATGACCTGTTTTTTGAACAATTTTTTATGTCAGTCCAAAATTTCTATTTTGGAATAGAGAGGTCAAAATATTTAGTTGTTTCGTTTTCCGATCCATCGATTAATTGAACAATTAATCAATTATCATAATAATCATTAGTTGCAGCACTACATATAACCATCATTTTTTCTTCTTATCAGTTCACATAATGTGGTTATTTTTGTTTTGTAGGTAGACTATAATGCCACYGCCTGGCTGACAAAGAACATGGATCCCCTAAATGACAACGTCACCGCACTGCTCAGCAATTCCTCCAGCCCGTTTGTGCAAGACCTCTGGAAAGATGGTGAGACGTTTCCAAAACAAAACATGAGCTTCATCAGCTTTACTTTTGACAACAAATGCACACAGAGGTGTCTAGTTTTATGGTGTTTTAAGCACAAGCTGCTGAGTCATCGTTTTTGTTTTGTTGTGYACTTCAGCGGACCGAGTGGTGGGTCTGGACACGATAGCCAAGATGACRGACAGCTCCATGCCCAGCGCTTCAAAGACCAAGAAAGGAATGTTTCGCACAGTAGGACAACTTTACAAAGAGTCTCTGGCAAAACTCATGACCACACTGCACAACACTCAGCCCAACTTTGTCAGATGCATCATCCCAAACCACGAGAAGAGGGTAACTTCATTGTCTTGCATTTAAAAAGACACAAATGGTGTTTTTATAGAGGCTTAAAAAGAACTATAATCAATCAGAAATCCAAGTAAAATGTGATTTTTCTCAGGCAGGAAAGCTGGATGCCCACCTGGTCCTGGAGCAGCTCAGGTGTAACGGCGTGTTGGAGGGAATACGAATCTGTCGACAAGGTTTCCCAAATCGAATCGTCTTCCAGGAGTTCCGCCAAAGGTGAATTTAACACAGTCTGGAAACAAGATTAAAATAAATCTGTATTAAATGTAAAATCTCTCCCATCTCTTTGCAGATATGAGATCTTGGCTGCAAATGCCATTCCTAAAGGTTTCATGGATGGCAAACAAGCCTGCTGCCTCATGGTAGGCACATAAATTTAAAAAAAAAAGATCTTTACTCTCAGATCAGTACTCATGTCACTGATGTTTGTGYAGATCAAACATCTGGACCTGGACCCCAATCTGTACAGGATCGGACAGAGTAAAATCTTCTTCCGCACAGGGGTGCTCGCCCAGCTGGAGGAGGAGCGAGATCTGAAGATCACCGTCATCATCATTGCTTTCCAGGCTCAGGCCAGAGGCTTCCTGGCCAGAAAGTATGAACCTTCAAGCCTCCGCACACATTTCACCCTCTCATAAACTAAGTTCACATTAATCACATTCCTCGTATCAAAGTGTTTTGGCTGATTTTATTTAGCATTTAGGGAATGATTTTAGATGCTTTTCTTGCCATTTTTACTCTTTTCTGAATAAACCTGGCAGGCTGCAATAAATTAGAAGTGATGTGATGTTTGTTTTTTCTGTTGGGCTTTTAAAGGGCATTTGCCAAGAGGCAACAGCAGCTTACAGCCATGAAGGTGATCCAGAGAAACTGTGCTGCTTACCTCAAACTCAGGAACTGGCAGTGGTGGAGGCTTTTCACGAAGGTCCGCTGCACGCCAAAGCAATGACCTCACATTAATATTTATTAATATTTTATATTTAATATTTATTTATGTTTTTATGTAGAGTTAAGTATTTGTGCTGATTTTTATTTATTTTTTGAACTACAGGTCAAGCCTCTACTGCAAGTGACCCGACAGGAGGAGGAGATGAGTCTAAAGGAGGAAGAGCTGCTTAAAGCCAAAGAAGTGGCAACAAAGTTTGAGTCTGAGCTGAAAGAAGTCACTTTGAAGCACACACAGGTAAAAAATGAAAGGAAACGCATTCCTTGGAAAATACTTTTTTATTCAATCATTAGTCCTCTGGAGCACCACTCACRTGTGGAGTACCTCAGGGCTCCATACTTGGCCCTCTTCTCTTTTTTTTCATTTATCTTCTCCCTCTATGATTTATTCTTCAGAAACATGGGGTCTCGTTCCATTTTTATGCTGATGACACCCAAATTTATGTCCCACTGAAACAGGAAAAGCAATATTCTGTGAACCAACTTCTGGAATGTTTTGCAGAAGTCAAAGCATGGATGTCGCTGAATTTTTTTTACATTTTAAAGAGCTAAAGATGGTGGTCGTATTGTTTAAAGCCCAGTGACGGTTCCAAAGTTCAAGGTGATCTGGGTCGTTTAGCAAAACATCTGACCCAGACTGCAACTAGCCTGGGTGTTAGACTGGCAAAGATTTAAAACTAGATGTTCTCAGCTTTTATCATCTGAGACAATTGGCCAAGGTCTATCCATTTCTTTCACAGAATAATGTTGACATTTTTTTCTCCTTGCTTTTAACGCAGTTTGAAATGTTGGTTTTAATGTTTTTTTGTTTGTTTGTTTGTTTTTATATTATTGACTCATTTTACTCTGTTTATTTTTATGTATTTTTAATATTTGGCCAACGGTGTTGTTCAAGTGCTTTATAAATAAAGTTGTATTTTATTGTATTTTTATGTCACAGACATATAACTCAAGCCAAGCAGAGTTTAACTTTGTAACTCTGTATTCCTGCAGATTTTAGAGGAGAGGAATGCCCTGCAAGAGCAGCTTCAAGCAGAGACAGAGCTGTACGCAGAGGCTGAGGAGATGAGGGTCCGCCTGGCAGCTAARAAACAGGAGCTGGAGGAGATCCTTCACGAGATGGAGGCGAGGCTGGATGAAGAGGAGGAACGCGCTCAGGCACTGCTGCTGGACAAGAAGAAGATGCAACAGCAGATGCAGGTCTTCTTACTTTCTTGCTATCCATTTTTAATTTCATTTTTKTTGCTGCATCTAGTTTCTGTGCTCAGATTATTTCTTTCTGACAGATTAGACTAATGCATGAACTGATGACTGAAAGTATTTTAATTTATAGGAACTAGAGGAACATTTGGAAGAGGAGGAGGATGCCCGTCAGAAGCTGCAGCTGGAAAAGGTCACTTGTGAAGGAAAGATTAAAAAGCTGGAGGATGACATTCTGGTAATGGAGGACCAGAACAACAAACTTCTCAAGGTCAGATTTGGAAATCCAAATTTTTTAAATTTGATTTTAGTGAATTATTTATTCAGTTTATTGGATGTTGGGTTTTGTTTTTTAGGAGCGTAAACTGTTGGAGGAAAGAGTTGCAGACTTTAGTGCCAACCTGGCAGAAGAGGAGGAGAAATCGAAGAACCTCACTAAGCTCAAAAATAAACACGAGTCTATGATCTCAGAGTTGGAAGGTCATTTTTTTAACATTCATMAAAACTCACTGAGCATTTCTCTGGGAGGGATTTGTTAATTAGATTTGACTTTGTTTGTTTTTCTTCTGTTTTTAGTTCGTTTGAAAAAAGAAGAAAAGACTCGTCAGGAGCTGGATAAGGCAAAGCGAAAGTTGGAGGCAGAGTCTAACGACCTGCAGGAGCAGATAGCCGACCTGCAGGCCCAGATCGCTGAACTCAAAGCTCAGCTTGCCAAGAAGGATGAGGAGTTGCAGAACGCTTTGGCAAGGTGATATCCAGCTCTGGTTACCCTGATTGTTGGTTTTAGTCAAAATGTTAAATGTGTTTGCAAAAGTTCCACTAACGCAGTGCAAGTTAACCAGCATCTCCTCTGCTCTTCGTTCTCTCAGGTTAGAAGATGAGATGGCTCAGAAAAACAATGCTCTGAAGAAGATCAGGGAGCTGGAGGGACACATCTCCGACCTGCAGGAAGACCTGGACTCTGAGCGAGCAGCCAGAAACAAGGCGGAGAARATCAAACGGGACCTCGGCGAGGAGCTGGAGGCGCTCAAGTCTGAGCTGGAAGACACACTTGACACAACTGCCACWCAGCAGGAGCTGAGGTCAATCACATTAAAACTCATATATATTGTTAAAGTATTTTAAATGTGYTGTGAAAGGTGAGGCTGACAGTCGAATGTGTGCAGAGCCAAACGTGAGCAGGAGGTCACRCTGCTGAAGAGGGCCATCGAGGAGGAGAACCGCGCACACGAGTCTCAGATACAGGAGATGAGACAGAAACACACCCAGGCTGTGGAGGAGCTCACCGAGCAGCTGGAGCAGTCCAAACGAGTACGACCTCATTATTTTAAAACTTTTATTTAAACTGGAGAAACTGCATTTCCTGTGAAAACCCTAGTGTGAATGCTTCTTGCTGAAAACTTAAGATGAAAGCTGCTGAAATTGAAAAGTGTTAATGTGAGTTCAATCTGAAAAGCTGAAAGAAGAAAAGAAAAAGCCTAACTTTGCAGAAAAACTATAAAAAGAAGCAAAAATATAGCTGAAATGGTAGAAAAAAACTAAAAGCGAAAATAGCTGAATGTAGCAGAAAGCATCTTTAAGAAACATAAATGGCACAAATTATCAGAAAAAATCAAAAAGTAGATAAAAGCAGAAGAATAGCAAAAAGCAGATCTATATCTAAAACGGCATAAAAGGCTAAATTTTACATAAAATAAGCTAAACTTCGCAGCCAGAAKTTGAAATTAGCACCCAGTGAAAGTGCAGTAAAAAATGTAAAGTAGCTAAAGCTATGTGTATTTGATAAAGCTAAATTGAGCTAATAACAGCTGAACATTAGCTAAAATTGCAGCAAATAGCTGAATATAGAAAAAAAACATATGTAAAAAAGCCTAAATGGCACAAAGTAGCAGAAAAAAGGTAGAAAAGCCCAGAAGAACAGCAGAAAGAAACAGATTTAAAGATGAAATGGCAGAAAAAAAATCTAAAATTAGCAAAAACTAGGTAAAATTATAACAAGAAAGGTTTAAGAAAAAAAAGCAGAACCAGAACAAATTGTGTAAGGTTCTGTAAATATTTAGAAACATTTTAAAGGATTTTAAGAGCGCTGAAAATGGCTCTTATTCATTTTCGATGGCAAAAAAGTGGCCAAAATAAATAGCTGAAGTGCCAAAAGTTATAGCACCCTTGTCATAAATGAGCTGAAGGTTTTGATAAATGAATTGTTGAAATGGSTCAAAGATTATGGAAYGACTTGGATGCCAAAAGACATATGGAAGAACTGTGGTAGTGAAATTAAAGAGAAACATGAAAACCAAGCATTGACACTATGACAATTTGTTCTGATATCAGTCTCTTCTCTTCTCTTTAGGTAAAGACCAACCTGGAAAAGGCTAAACAAGCTCTGGAGAAGGAATCTTCTGAATTAACCATAGAGGTGCGCTCGCTGACTCAGGCCAAGCAAGAAGGGGAGCACAAGAGGAAGAAGCTGGAGGGCCAGGTGGCGGACCTGCAGTCCCGCTTCACCGACAGCGAGAAGCAAAAGGCTGAGCTGAGCGAACGCTGCTCTAAAATCACTGTAAATCTCCTGCACTCRCATCAAACCCAACAAAGAAACAATAAGAACATTTCAGGAGTGTCGCACTTAACTGCCAACTTCAAAACGYTGTTTCTGCACCTCTTTTTCTCAGGTTGAACTTGAAAGTGTAACAAACCTACTGAACGAGGCAGAGGGCAAGAACATCAAACTGAGCAAAGACGTGACCAGTCTTACTTCTCAGCTCCAAGACACACAGGTGCGTTATGTGTTAAAGCAGGAATAATTCAGTCTCCTCTTACATTTAAAAAGCATCCAGTATTGAGGGTTAAGTCTGAGGATTTAAACTAYGGGTCTGCTGCACTGTCTCAGGAGCTGCTGGCTGAGGAGACGCGTCAGAAACTGCAGATCTCTACGAAGCTGCGACAAGCGGAGGAYGATAATCACAGCTTACAGGAGCAGCTTGAGGAGGAGATGGAGGCCAAGAGGAACGTGGAGCGACATGTGTCCACCCTCAACATCCAGGTCAGGAGTCAAAAACAAATTACTCATGTTGGTAAAATTATTTAGGAAATGAGATGAAAGCAACAGACTGCTGCATTTGAGGTGCACAAAGGAGCGTTATTGCAGATCCTTCCTCCCTGCAGCTGTCAGACTCTATAACCAGCACCACACCCACAAATCACAAGAAGCGTTTACACACCTGCTGCTGCCCACACAATCATCTGTACTCTTACTGTTCATTGTCATTACTCATCTGAACAATAATTTGCACTACTACTCATTTATATTATTAATAATCTGAGCAATCATTTGCTGTTATTACCCATTTTAAACTTTCAAAATAATTCTGCTGTAATTGCACATCTGTGTTTCTTGTCTGACAAGCAAATTCTGATTCCTAATGTCAGATTCTGATAGTCTACTGTCTCTAAAACAAAACTTAACTTTTTTTTATTCTTGCACAATTCTTTATATTTTTAATTATTAGTAGTTGTATCATTGCTAGTCAGTGTTAGTTTAGTTTTTTGTGCACTGTCTATCGTTTGTAAAGTAACTAGCGTGTAAACCTCTGTACAGATGCTGCTGTGACACCTGAATTTCCCCTCTATTACTATTCTATTCTAAATTCTGTAAGAAAGCAAAGAAAACTTGTTGGAAAGTGTAATTGTAGGTGGAGAAGTGAAGCTGCCAATTAAACTCTGTATAGTTATCAGATTCGAAGAAGAAGCTGGAGGAAATGTCGGGAAACATCGAGCTCTTGGAAGAAGGGAAGAAACGCCTGCAGAGAGATTTGGAGGCAGCCAACACTCAGTTCGAAGAGAAGGCCTCGGCGTACGACAAGTTGGAGAAAACCAAGAACCGTCTGCAACAGGAGCTGGAGGACACGCTGATGGACCTGGACAACCAGAGACAGATTGTGTCAAACCTGGAGAAGAAACAAAAGAAGTTCGACCAGGTGACAAAAAAATAGAAACTTAACTTCTTTTCTTGCATTTCACAGATTACTTTTCAAAAAAGTGCAATGGARTCTGAGTCTTTTTAATGCATTCTCGCTTGTCCTTTCTGACCTGCAGATGCTGGCTGAAGAGAAGAGCATCTCCAGTAAATATGCAGAGGAAAGAGATCGTGCAGAAGCCGAGGCTAGAGAAAAAGAAACCAAGGCTCTGTCGCTGGCGAGAGCTCTGGAAGAGGCCCAGGAYGGCAGAGAGGAGCTGGAGAGGACCAACAAGGCCCTGAGGATGGAGATGGAGGACCTGATCAGTTCCAAGGACGATGTGGGGAAAAATGTTGGTGCTTTTTTATTTGCCTCTCAATCCTGTGGTGTTTTAGGCAAAAGAGAGAACATCCCCGTTGATTTGAAAACATCTTGACGGCAGGTTCACGAGCTGGAGAAGTCCAAACGAGCCCTGGAGGCCCAGGTGGAGGAGATGAAGACCCAGCTGGAGGAGCTCGAGGACGAGCTGCAGGCGGCTGAGGATGCCAAGCTGCGTCTGGAGGTCAACATGCAGGCCCTGAAAGCCCAGTTCGAAAGAGACCTCCAGGGACGGGATGAGATGGGCGAGGAGAAGAAGAGGCAGCTCGTCAAGCAGGTAAACAAAGGAGGACGGACGATTTTTAAGTTTAAACCCTCAGATTTCACCCAAACTGTGACGCTTGCTGACTGCAGGTCCGTGAGCTGGAGACTGAGCTGGAGGACGAGCGAAAACAGAAAGCTCAAGCTGCTGCTGCCAAGAAGAAGCTGGAGACGGACATGAAAGACCTGGAAGGACAGATTGAGACGGCCAATAAGGGACGAGATGAAGCCATCAAGCAGCTCCGCAAGCTTCAGGTGAGAGAGAGGGTTTCTTCACTGGTATAGATTTTAAAAGAATCAAAACTCTTAAGAGCGCATCGTCTGAATGAGCTGAACGCTTTGATGTATGAATGACTAAAATAGCACAGTGTGCAGCAGAATTTAAACCTTTAGCATTCGTTCTTTGCGATCTAATAAACTTGAAGCACTTGGAGAGCACAAACCTCCACCAAGGCCATTTCCCCTAACCTGCAATGGAAACGGCATGATTCGTAAAAACTTCCTCTATTTCGCAAAAAAGTTTATACGCTGGCTTGAGGTGATTTTTGGGCTTTTCGACAGAGTTCATGCACACAAGGAGAGATGGAAACACATTTGCCGAATAAGTTCTGACGTAGCGAACATTTACCTCACACGGTTGATCAGCTGTTCCCGCTGTGAGCGACTGCAGCAGGACCCCTTCTCCCRCTGTCTTCTCAGTTATTAAAGTGTCTGTGACATGCATGTTCTCCAAATACAAGAAAACATCTTTATATTTAAGAAAGCTGGAATAATACACAAGATTTTACCCATTTTGTCTCATAACTGGCACAATTTCTTTTGAACTTGACTCGGCCAAAGTGAAACAGGAAGTGACATCAAAGGGGAATTTTTTAACAAAGAAAACTCTCTGGTCTTTGTTTAATGAAACTATACTATTTGATCTCCGACTCTGATAGTGACTCAAAATAATCTTAAACATCTCTACAGTCTGAGTTGTTGGCTGTTGTAGCAACGCTCTGTTCACATGCAGACAYTCCCCTTTGACATCACTTCCTGTTACTTCACAGGTAAATATCTCAACAACTGTTGATCTCAGCAACATGAAATTTATTTTGCAATATTTTATCAGTGTCATCTTTTCATAAATGCCTTCATATGTATTACAAAAATCTGACGTCACAGGCACTTGAATGGTGTGTTCCTTTGGCCAATACCCACCTGTGGTAAAAATTTCATGAAAATCCGTTAAGTTTTTGAGTAATTTTTTCCAGACAGACATACGCGCCCGAAAACATTACCTCCTCCCGTGGCGGAGGTAATAAAAAAAATAAATCGGACCATGATTGTCTGAATGCTGAATCCATGTTCTGTTGCTCCCTTCAGGCCCAGATGAAGGACTWTCAAAGGGAGCTGGAGGATGCCCGCGCTGCTCGGGAGGAGGTGCTGGCCACGGCGAAGGAGAGCGAGAGGAAAGCAAAGAGTCTGGAGGCTGAGCTCATGCAGCTGCAGGAGGTGACACCGTCACTAACCTGTTCACCTGTTTTATTGGAAATCGACAGAATTTTTCTAAATAATTAGATGACTCTTTAATCCAGGAACTGGCTGCAGCTGAAAGGGCCCGGAAGCAGGCAGAGGCTGAGAGAGACGAGCTGTCTGATGAGCTGGCGAGCAACACTTCTGGAAAGTGGGTGGAAGTTGTGTGTTTTAGCCTCAGCTGTGGAGTAAACTGAGAGAACGAGTCAYGTTGATGTTTGCTGCTGTGGTCTAATGTGCTCAGATCAGCCTTGGCAGACGAGAAGCGCCGCCTGGAGGCAAAGATCGCCCAGCTGGAGGAAGAGCTGGAGGAGGAACAAAGCAACATGGAGATCCTCAACGACAGGCTGAGGAAGAGCGCGCAGCAGGTGACGAGTCTGGGAGGAGCTTCTCCAAGCTGAGACACGGTAAAACGAAGCGCCCCCCCAACCCTGACCTCGTTCCCATCTCCTCACCAGGTGGAGCAGCTGAACAATGAGCTGCAGACGGAGCGCAGCGCCTCTCAGAAGAACGAGAGCGCTCGGCAGCAGATGGAGCGTCAGAACAAGGAGCTAAAGGCCAAACTCCAGGAGATGGAGAACCAGGTCAAGTCCAAGTTCAAGTCCTCCATCTCTGCGCTGGAGGCTAAAGTGGCTCAGCTGGAGGAGCAGCTGGAGCAGGAGAACAGGTTGGGAACAAATAATCCCTCAAAGCGTTTGTTTTAATCAATAGCCTTTGAAAGAAGCTTCAATTTGTTATGTGCTATGGCATGAAATGTGTGTAATAAATATGAATGCATTTATGGAAAGAACTTTTATCATGATTTAGGGACAAGCAGGCAAATGCCAAGAGTGCTCGCCAGAAGGACAAAAAACTTAAAGACCTGCTGATACAGCTGGAAGACGAAAGAAAACAGGCGGAGCAGTACAAAGATCAGGTATAAACACTTAATTAACCYGACTTAATTCTGATCATGATCAGGAAAGAGACTGGTAAAGTCTGAGTTTGTATCTTCTACCTCCAGGCGGAGAAGTCAAACTCTCGCATGAAGCAGCTGAAGCGGCAGTTGGAGGAATCGGAGGAGGAGTCTCAGCGTGCAACCGCCGCCCGCAGGAAGCTGCAGCGGGAGCTGGATGAAGCCACCGAGGCCAGCGACGCCTTGAGCCGCGAGGTCAATTCTCTCAAGAGCAAACTCAGGTGAGGGCAATGCATCGAAAGAGACGAGCTGGTTTTCACGGTAGTTATTCTCTCATTTCTGCTGCAACTGAACAAATACTGTACAGGAGCAGACATCTCAATGATATATACAGTACTCTGCAAGTTATTATAAGCTTTATTTTTTATTAATTGTGAGTTATGCATTTATTATTGGTGTTTTATCTTTTATGCTTTTAAGAATGTTGTTTGCTTTTATATTGATTATTGCCTTGTGTTCAGCACTTTGGTGACAACTTGTTTTTGAAATGTGCTGTATAAACTTGATGTTGATGATATTTTTATATACTTAGCTTCCAAGAAGTCAGTCCTTTTTTTTTTGCTTTATTTATTAAAGTGTGTCTGGAAGAAGTTCTTCAGACTTCATGAARGTTATCTATGGAATTATATTTGTGCCTAAAAATCAGAGAAAAAACTCTTAGATGTTAAAACAAAAATTAAGAATATGGTTTAAAAAACATTTAAAAAGTTGTTTCAAAAGCAAAATTTGCAGTTTTATAAAAATGATATGCATCCATTCATTTTCCGAAGAGATCTTCAAAGTGAAATGACACTGGAAGTAAACATACCCTGCTTCGGATCGTAGGGGAAGTTGTCTTCCGGGTCACTAATCTGTCACTCAAGAAATCTCTGTTCAATAGGAAAAGACTTCTCAGAAGACTTTTTAATGTGTTTTTTTTTATCAAATTCTTAATTTTTGTTTGAACATCTAAGAGGTTTTCCTCAAACCCTTTGCCATCCAGTTGTTTGTAGTGCATGTACTTGTACAGTCTTTTAGGCACAAATCTAATTCCATAGTTTCCAAGTTTCCTTTTTGAACTTTAAACTCCTTTTCAGTCCAGTCTTTGTGTTACATCTTTAGTCCCTGAGCAGGAAGCCAAACGTTTACTGAGTAAAAATCAAAACTATCATGTCCCTCTTTATTGCAGAGGCAACCCTGAACCTAAGGAGTAACACAGCAGGTACCTCTGCGCCTAAAGTTACCCCGTTGACGTTTTTCATTCCAGACCTTCTCATCCTCCGTGCACTCTAAATGCTCTCATTTCTTTCACTGAGCCTAACTGAGGGAAATGTGGCTCATCGAGCTGTGATTTTAAAAAAAGGAAATGATGAAGTTCTGGTTTTCTGATGGCCATGTTTTTCTCAGTGCTTGGGTTTAAGTGTTATAAACCAAACTCATTTTCCTGAGCAAGGAGTCGAATGAGTTCGATAACCAGCGCGCTAACCCGTACGTTCTATTTCATTGTTCCTCCTTGTAGCGTTCACTCAGACCTGACAAGCCCCCRACACCATCACCTCCTCTCACTGTGACTCTGCTTGTCTGTGGCGTTTCTAGGCGTGGAAACGAGCCCTCCTTCGGCAGTGCGCCGCGGCGTATGGGYGGAGGCCGGAGGGCGGTTGAGGACGCCTCAGAGGAGGAAGTGGACTCCCAAAGCGACTTCAACGGAACAAAGTCCTCCGAGTAAGGAATGATTTGGAAAAACAAGATGGCAGAATAAAAGGTTCAGGGCAAAGTCTGCCACTTGGAACGGTCAAAAACCTGCTTTGCTGTCTTCAACCTTTCAAATGATATTTCTCATTTTTAAAGTTTTATGGATCTTTTGAAGCACGTTCTTCCCACAAAGCCATCAGAAAGAAATTATATYTAATAGGACTTGTTTTAGTAGCTCTGATTTTCACTGTTTTAGATGCACTGAATATCTTTCTTATGCAATATTTTGTGCACCAATAGGTGTCTAATTATTACCTACTTCAAACTTAAAGTGGAGGCGAGTAAATCCAGATAATTTTATTGACTGTTGACCTTTTTGCCTGTGACTGCTGTTACTGCTTCAGAGCAGCACTGAAATAAATTCAGATCAGATGTAAACACTGTCTGCTTCCAATCAGTGCTGACTTCTGTACCCGAAACATTATTTAACCCAGAGATTTTCTAAAGCCACTTTTTTTTACATGATTTGCACCTTTCCTGTGCCCAAATGTTTAGATCTTTATTATAGTAATAATTACGGTGAACACCGGAGGTCAAAGGGATAATAAATTCACTTTTTTTTTATCATGAGCCACATGTTGATCGAGCAGCACTTCTTTTAAWCTTTGTTCAGATTCACTATACATGTTTTTCAAATCACTCTAAAGCAGCTCTTTTAATAATGTATAATCAACTAATGTTTACATGACACCCTTTTGTACACTTTAACTGTTCAAGCACCAGCACAAGAAATAAAGATCATGAAAAAAGTATCTTTAACTGTATTTTTTTTATTTTCTGTCTTGGTCAGTAACTGATATTAGTCCCATCTGTAGGAAAAACCCTGCAAACCAGCAGAATAATTGATGGGTAGAGTACCCCAGGCACATAGATGAGCAGTATTAGAAACACAGTTTGAGGATYGCAGTAACGGTTAACCCAAGAGCAGGTGAGCAGCAAACAAACTGAGATCCAGTTCTGGACATGATGATTTACACACAGGTTACAGAGTGGTGAGCTGACGGTGGAATATGAAAGAGTACAGAGCTGCAGGACTTCAGCAGCAACACCAGAAAAACCTGTTTCAGCCAAAAGCACTGCTGTCACGCTCCTCAAAAAAACAAGTTCAGTAAAGTCTCTAAATGTCTATAGATTCAATTCAACTGTGCTCATCTTTGACCTAACATTTATTATTGCTTCTTTTTTTCCATATTGTCACTAAAAATGCAACATTTTTAGATCTTGCTCAAAAATAGAAAAAATGTTGTGGGATGCACATAATAAAACAACAAAAAACAAAAGAAAAAACTAAAACTGACCACTCATTTCTGTATTTTAAACAGCTCAGTTCAGGATTCACAGCAAAGCAAACCTTACAAACTGAGGAGTGCTCTTTTTTTCCCTCGGCTAATTAAAGTCTAAAATCCTAAAGAAAAGTTATTTTAAAAAGTAGTTCAGATTTTTCAAAATGAAGCCAATGGTTAATAT